GGAGTGRCTCTCGGTGGGCCAGTTCTCCACCAGCACGGGTGTTGGCACCAAMGGTGGTGGCGTTACAACATTCCTACTAGCGCTGTCCTCTCCGCCCACGCCATCGYTGCTGCGTTCATAATTAGCTGCGAACTCATTACTGTTACTGCCGCTGCCAACTCCGCTGACGCCGCCCTCGCCGCCAATTCCAACGCCATTTTCATTGTCCATATGCAGCTCTTGCAACTGTTATGCGAACAATTAAGGTTTAGAAATAAGYCGTTARTTAAAGARTCATCCGCTTACCGCGGCATTCTCCTTGATGCGCCGCTTTATGAGCGCTCGCACGTCGTTGAAGAACCGTTCGTTCAGCGTCAACGCATCCTCGGGATAATCGATGCGATGAGTTGGCAAGTGGCTGCACGCGCTCCAGTCGAAAGCCAACGCAGCCAAAATGAAAGCCAAACCGCACAACTTCTCCATGCTCGACATCTTGTTGTTGCTCATCCTGTTGCTGTGGAGTGAATGCGTTTAATTTGCGAATGGTTCAAGTATATTTACTCGGACTCCATATGTACATAACTTGTACATATGTGTAATTATATTTAGTTTCTATGTATATTTCGCTTGGAGCGTATTGTCAATTCGCACTTACAGCTGACTAAATGAGTTTTTCGTGCAAAAATTCCCTAASCGACCATAGCCGTTGACTTGTAAATCTGCGCTGCAGTAAATTCGTGCGACAGTTTTCCTCTTGCTTCTGTTTTTGATTACTTAGTACTCGCGTATAGCTACTACTTTGTGCCTTAATGTTGTCGTAGATTAAGGTATAGTAGACCTAGGCAGCGGCAGTGCGCACGCGCCTCAAATTTCGTYGACAGTGGTGCTGCCTTGGAAAATGTGTGACGAAAATTAGTTAGAAATGTTATATGAGTCCAACTGGAGGACGAGGATGCCAATGTATAAATATATTTTCTACAGGTTTCTCATCGTCCATCTGAAGCCAAAACATGTTGCTATGTTCTGGGCAATTAGTGGATTCCATACCAAAAAACTAGGCCGGTTAGGCGGCCAAGGATGAATCAAACGTACTCTGATTGCTTCTGGATTCGATATAGTTCTGATCTGAACCGTATTCCAGTGAGGGTGTCCTGCTACGACCGGAACAAATGGTAGGCAGAAGAGACAAGGTCTGGACCAGAAGGCTGGTAAGGCCGAACTTTCCAGCCAATGTTTTCTAAATAGTTTTGAACCGGTCTTGCAATATGGTTCCAAGCATTGTCCTTCCAAATCCTGGGTTTCAGTTAACTTTAGAAGCTCATAATACAGCACCTCCTCTGATCACACCAAATTCCTTATCGACATGGACATTTCGCTCTGCCGTTGATTCGGCTGGTTGGTTCASCTGTTATTTTTTCCGCGTAAGGTTGTTGTAATGAATTAATTTTTCATCACCAGTCAGAATTTGATACAAAGGCGAGTTCTTTTAGGAGCGTTCAAATAGCATTTCTGACATGCATCACGTCTTTCAACGTCTCTTTTGTTCAATTCATATGGTACCCAATTTTCAATCATAATAAAGTTACGCCATCTCTTGGCAAATCGTACGAATATAGCTAAAGACTCGACTAAATAAGGTCAAATCTGTCTAATGGTATTCTTAAAAGGAACTTCTCTCAATTAAAACTTAATTGTCATCGCAAACTCAAAGTCCGCTCACCGCACTATGAACACTCTGTTTTTGCTTTTTTCTAGCAAACTTATGATCTAAATCAGATCTATAACGGACTAGCTGAGATTTTTCGATTTAGATTTTGGCTTAAGTCGAGACACAAACCACCCGTGGAAATAAAAATTATATAATACTATGATATCCAGACTAGGTTTAACTTGGTCTTGCTTTCAAGGCTTCACAATAACGTTCAATCATTAAGTTGTAATGTGTATGTAATGTAATGAAATGAGGAATTTTATTTCGAAAACTTTTGTAATGTGTATTATGTAAAGTTGTGTGAATCTGTAAACTATGCTTAAGTTCACATGTAGTGTGTACCATTGAGCAAGGATGTGGCTGAGGGTATACAGGCATGTATTCA